GTTAATTTGAGTTCTAAGTGTTATAATATTAAAAAATAAACAATATTTATGCATGAATTTAATCTGCTTGAAATTTTGAATTTCCAGTGCATTATGAACTAATTCCATATTTTCAAAAGGTTACCATGGTAACAAGCATACACATTTTCATGTTTCACAATTTCAATGAATATCAAATTAATTCTATATTCCTACTAAAGTGTAAAAATAGAAAATTGATAAGATTTTTCTGCACATTAGTTGATTTTTCGATTTTTTAAAATCTGTTTCCATGGAGACCATTACCTAAAATGGTCTGTTGTATTATATATATGTTATAAATTTTATTTGTAAACTGTTTTAAATACTTTTATTACCAATTGAAAGTCAGTCTTGTTACATTTTGGTAAAGATTTTTTCTGTGATATTTTTAATTGTTAGGTTACTATTGTTATTTGTTGAAAACTAGAATTTTACAAACATTTTACCTTTTGCATGTATATTATCTTTGTTTGTTGATGACTAAAATAATTATTTAAAATAATTATTAGGTTTAGAGATCTTGAAATATGACTAAAAGAGAAAATTTTGATTTTTAAAATAGATAACTGTGTTTAGTCTTTTTTTCTTCATAATCAACTCTGTTTCCATAGCAACAAAAGCAAGTTTATTGTGGTGATTCATTGAAAATCACATTGTTATTGCGAACACCCAAATATGGTCTTTCAAAATATCCATTGGTTTGGGGTTTTTTATTTGCATTTTAACATACCACTGGCTTATTTGTATATACTTCCTTGACTTTGGCTGCATTGTGAAATAAAGTGTATTCCACAGCAGCATATTACATGGAAAAACTGTAGTCTGAAAGGGTTAAAGTATTTCTCCGTTTACAATTCCATTAGAAATATCAACGAAAACAACAATCAACTAAAAATATCGACGGATAACGGAGCTACGTTCAAAACCATAAGCCTACTACCGGGAAGCTACGAATACGTAGCCATCAACGAATACCTATCCGAATACGCAGGAAGCGTGAACGGCAAAAACAATATCGAATTCGAAGGTAATTTGAATCTGAACAAAATAAAACTGATCTTGAGAAATAACAGTCAAGTCGATTTCAACGTAGAAACTTCGTTGAATGCGTTACTAGGGTTCGATAAACGAATATACGCGCAATCGACATTGGCGCCGCACAAGGCCAACATCGAGAACGACATCGAGGTGATCAACATTCTTTGTAATTTGATCAACGGTGGATTTTTCAACAAGCACAAACGCCAAATCATATACAGCATACCGACTTTTACGGTGCCGATCGGATACAGAATTATAGAGAAACCGTTTCAAACGACCTATTTACCAGTCAATTCTTTCATGATCAAAGATATAAATCTGGAAATCAAAGACGGTAAAAACAGATTCATAGACTTTGGCAACGAAGAAATTGTCATTCAACTTCATTTAAAACAATCTTCATTCTCTTCTTGAATAGTAAGATAATCGAAATCATCAAATTCATAGTTTTCATCAAAACTATACTCATCTTTGTCGTTGTAAGGATACATAATTCCTTCACTGTTTGGTGGTTTTCTTTTAACATTATTCAAATAACTTCTAAAAACTTTAGTTTGTTTATCATTTGGAATAAATACTCCATTGGTGAAACTTTTTTCCCATGGTTTCTTAAATTCGTTCGACACATCATGTCAGCTTGCTAACTGAACGTAATCTACACTTATCTTATCATTAGAATAACCTTTAAACGTTTTCTTTTCTTTTAAAGCTAAATATAAACCAAATATAATTCCACCGTCACCGTAATCGTTTCTACCTTTGCAATAGTCTTTTTCGGAGAACAAACCAGCTCTGTTTAGTTTTTTTCCAATTTTTGGATGAAATGTACAAACTATCGGTGTCGGTATAGTATATTTCGGGTTTATAAAATCCATTTATGGCGTGAATGAAATTGTTCATTATTTTTTTTACTATGAGATAAAACGAATGATCCCAAATGACTAGGTGTTAGTCGTGTAGATTTACTATCTTCGGTAGTAATCTCTTTTTCTTCAATTTCTGTTTCAACAATATATTGAGTATCATTAATTTTCTCATAGGTTTTAACGCGTGAATCAAAGTTGGCCTGTAAAGTTGCTTCATTCCATAAATGTCTAGTTGTGAATATATCTTTCTGAATTGATTTACCATACAAGGAATTACCTAATAATTTCATGCAATTACTACCCACGATATTACCTTCTCGTTGGAAGAACATGTTTTTGGGATACTCAAACCACACTGTTAAAATAGCTGTTCTAGGTCTGAATTTTTGTTTATTGAAGAGTTTTACAAATTTGTTTTCTTCTTCTGGTAGAAACGATCTTCCACTTTCCGCTCTCGGATATTCACTTTCTAAATCCGACATGGCGGAAGCGTATAAACCGTTAGCATCAAATGCCATTAGTTTAGTACATTCTATTTTTTTAAGTCTCGAATGAACCTCCGTTTTGGCCTTTGTGCTTGCGCTGTATTCTTTGAATAAATCAATTATGTTATTACTTTAAGTTCTGTGTCACTTCGTGTTTCACTTTGTGAAATATATTCCTTTAATACGTTACAAATTTCATCCATTTTGTTCGTTTCAAATGATTTTCTATTTGCCGAAACTCTTCCTCCTTTAATAGATCGTCTGATAAAATTTCTTATAAAAGGATTAGTGTGCGAATAAGCTTTTTCTATATTTGCTTTTTTTGGTATGTTTCGCAACCATTCTAGTAGTTTCATACCATTCTTCCTCAACCATTTCTTTATCGTAATGTGATAAATAATACCAACCCCTTAAAGATAAAGATGGAGCCGTTAGACTATTGGACATATTCTGGTTTACAACTTCTTTCATGACTTGGTTATATTTTATCAAACAAGCTCCAAGACACAGGGTATCCATTTTTGCATATGGTTCCCATTCGTGTCTTAATTCCTCCCAATTGTCTTGGGTGTATTTAGCAATATCTACGTCGGCAATCTTTCTCAAATTCGCAGGGAAATTGGAAGAATTTCCCCATGCAGCCAAACTAGAGGATTCTTGTTGGTAGGAACACGTGAAATTAATATGTTGTAAATAATTACCCTTTATTTCTTTCTGTCTTTTCCATTTTTTCTGTAAATCTCCATCTGTGTATGGATTAGATAAAGGAAAAGATAGAATTCCTCTGGGTGTTTTTAAAGGGCAATGCGTTAGTTTTTTTTGTATTTTTAAGCACGATCCAGTTGTCGAATCCACTGCCGTTATGAGAAATTAATATTAATCTCTTTCTATCAAATTGACCGAAATATTTCAACATTTGATCTATACAATCTGTACCTACAAATATTTCTACTACATTCATTAGTTTATCATAAAATTCTTCTGGAACATTATCAGTAGGATTTAAATCTGGAAAGATATCTTTTATCGTTTCTAACTTTTTTCTTAGTTTTTCTAAATTAATTAAAGTGCAGGCATACGGAATTGTTCTTCGCGTGTCTTTTTCTGAATACGTTTCGCAATCCCAAGCGAATAACGCATCATCACTCATACTTGAAAGCACGTTTAGTTTGAGGGGTGAAACCTGTGTTACTGCGTTATCGTCTCTACACGTTTTCCACACCTGTTCGTAATTGTCTTCTATTTCTTGAATTCCCAAACTTTTTTGGCTTCTTCTAATCAAACAGAAATGCGAGTTGTGTAAGTAAAAAACCCAATCTAATTGTGAACGTCTCTGGGATGTAAATGTCTGTAATTTGAAACGAAGTGTTGAATGTCTTGTTGAATTCCTTCATTCTAACACAAGTCATCACTCCTTTTCTATTTGCTTTTGAAAACCCGTTGATGTATTCTTGAAATTTACACGTTAAATCTTTGTTCAAAACACGATTGACGCATTTGATAAAACAGTGACCATCTGTAGGTATGTAACAATTTTCGCCTTCGTATTCATTGATCTTTTTAAGCAGATCAGTTCCTCCTCTACCAACTCTCGATCTTTTTATTTCTTGGAAATTGTCTTTCATTAGAATTATTTTTCCTGTAAAATACTAATCGGAAGCATCCGATTTTTTGTCCATATTTGAAAAGATATTGTGAAAAGTTTTGGCATTGAAACCGAGGAGTGACATGTATTGTCTGTGATTCCCTTCCTCGACCATCTATTTTAATTTGTCCTTTGAATGTTTTAAATTTATCAGAGATAGCCTTGATAACATCGGAAAATAGGGCGTTTTCTATCAATGTTTCATTAAGTTCGATTTTATTCATATTTTTTTAAGTGTATATTTTTGATTATTTCTTTATTTTGACCGCTGATATTTCTGTATGGAATTTGTCCAGAACCCTTAAACGTTTTCTTTCTTTTAGAATGCCGTCGGAAGTTAGAATGATATTATATTTGACTTTTGGCGCTAAATATAAACCATATATAATTCCCCCATCACCGTAATCATTCTTTCCTTTACAATAAGCATTTTCGGACACCAACCCAGCTTCATTTAATTTATCGCAATTGCTAGACGAAATGTATAAACTATCAGTATCTGTATAGTATACTTCCTGCTTATAAAATCCATCTATTACGTGAATAAAATTATTCATTATTTTTTTACTGTGAGATAATACGAATGACCCCAAATGATTAGGTGTTAGTCGATTTAGGAGGTGTACAGTGAAATTCTTTATCTTCTTCATTTATCTCAACGATATATTGAGTCTCATTTACTTTAGGATAGCTTTTGACGTGTGAATCGAAGTTGGTTTTTAAAGTTGCTCCACACCATAAATGTCTCGATGTAGTTATATCCTTCTGAATAGATTTACCATACAATGGATTACCTAATAATTTCATGCATTTACTACCTACAATATTACCTTCTTGTTTATATTTATTTCTTAGATCTCTCAAAATTAAAATTTAATCTCTATATGGTGGAGTTTTAAAATTTTCTTCGTATACTATATATCTAGTATTCTAATAATTCGTCCACCGACTTTCACTATTTCTTGAATATTGACCGATGTTAAAACTTCTGAACAGAAACCATTTCTGAACCTGATTTTAGTGCCAGTTTCCTTATTACCTTCTTTGTTCGTAAAAGTAATTTTATCTTTAGCTGGTATGGGTTGGAAGAACATGTTGGTAGGATATTTAAACCAGACTTTTAAAATAGCCGTTCTAGGTTTTATCTTTTTTACTTTTACTATATTCTTTAAATAAATCAATTATATTACTACTCTCGAGTTCTGTGTATTCCTTTAATATATTACAAATTTCATCTATTATATTCGTTTCAAATGATTTTCTGTTAGCAGAAACACTTCCTCCTTTAATGGATTGTCTGATAAAATATCTTATAAAAGGGTGTGTATGTGAGTAAACTTTTTCTACGTTTTCTTTTTCGGTGTGTTTCGGAACCATTCTAGTAGTTTCATACCATTCTTCTTCAACCATTTTTTTATTGTAATGATATAAATAATACCAACCCTTTAAAGATAAAGACGGAGCCGTTAGATTATTGGAAATATTCTGGAATACAACTTCTTTCATAACTTTGTTATATTTTATCAAACAAGCTCCGAGACATAACGTATCTCTTTTAGCGTAAGGTTCCCATTCGTGTCCTAAAGATTCCCAATTATCTTCGGTGTATTTTGCAATATTGATATCTGTGATCTTTCTCAAATTCATCGGTAGATGAGATGAATTACCCCATGCCGCCAAACTAGATTTTTCATGTCGATAGGAACATATGGAATTAATATTTTGCAAATAATTAGAGTTGCCCATTATTTGTTTTTGTCTTTTCCATTTTTCTGTAAATATTCATCGGTGAATGAATTAGTTAAAGGTAGAGACAGAATGCCTCTAGCTGTTACTAGTGGAAATTGCGTTAGTTTTTTCGCATTTTTAAGCACGATCCAGTTATCAAAACCGCTACCGTTGTGAGAAATTAATGTTATTCTTTTTTGATCTATTTTTTCTAAACGTTGTAACATTTGATCGATACAATCTTTACCCACAAATATTTCTACTATCTTTACAAGTTCTCCATACGTTTTTGTCGTAATTATCTTCTTTTTCTTTAATGCCTAAGGTTTTGTTATTTCTTCTAATGAGACAGAAATGCGATTTATGTAAGTAAATTACCCAATCTAATTCTTCGGATACTTTCTTTGGTTGAAAATATCTTTGTTTGGGTATATAAATTTGAAAATTAGTATTAAATTTCTTATTGAATTCACAGATTCTAGCAGTTGTCATAACTCCTTTTCTGTTTGATTTTGAAAAACTGTTGATGAAATCTTGAAATTCTTTTGTGTAGTCTTTGTTCATGATATGATTTACGCACTTTACAAAGCAGTGTCCATCGCTTGGTATGAAACAATTTTTACCGGTATATTCATTTATCTTTTTGAGTAAGGTGGTACCACTACCCTTTTTTGATCTTTTTATTTCTTTGAAATTGTTTCAATGTAAAATGATTTTTCCTGAAAAATATCAATCAGAAGCATCCGATTTTACATCCACAGTTGCGAAGAAATTGTGAAAATTTTTGGCATTAAAGCCTACAAATTGTATGTTTTGTTTGTGTGCTCCATCTTGAATTACCTCTCCATTTTATTCAATTTGTCCTTTAAATGTATCAAATTTATTAGAGATATGCTTAATAATACATTAATGATTCATTTAATATGAATGTTTTATCGTCTAAAATTTCAATTTTATTCATATTTTTTAAGCAACTATTTTTAACTAGGAATTTTTAACTTTTTCAAACAGATTCAATTTTACTCCATGCTTTTTTTACATTTGTTAAAGTGTTTTAGTTTTTCTTTTAGTTCATTTTGTTTTTCTATCATATATTGTTGTCTACTGCTTTCCATTTTTAATGTTATTAAATTAAATGAATTTCTGATAAAGCAAAAGATAGAAAGTGTTTAACATCTACAATAGGTTTGTGCATTCTTTATTTTTTCATGATCTGTTCTAATTATTTCATAAAGACTCGTGGACTCAATGGTATGAAGAGGGAAGAAGTGTTTATTGATCCATGCCAAGCCCATGGCTATAGTCTAGTTAGTTGTGTAGGCCATTAAATAATTGTAACTCCGGTCAAAAACTAGGACAAGACGATGTTCCAGCCAAGAATGTTGAAAATGAATAATTTTTTATCGCATATTACTTGGTTTGTTTAAAAAATCTCGAGCTATAGGCCGATTATATTTTTTAAATGTACTGTAGATAATAAGAACATCTAAGTTTTAATTGAATTCACTGGTTGTTTTTGGATCTAGTTGTGATGTATGAAAGGGTATTAGTGAGGGAAGAAGTGTTCCAGTGATTTGAAAATAATATTTCATGAAGGTAAACCTGTCCCTTTAGAAATGAATGGAGTTTTATGTTCTACTTTTCTGCACCATGTGGATTAATGAAGACAGATAATGAGAGCACCATTCAAAAAATATAGAAATGTAAAATAAAGAGTTCTGTTAAATTTCTTAAAAAAAAGAAGGGGAAGTTAACTCTAGTTTTTTCTTTGGTTAAAACTTAGTCTTGAGGAAATAGATTGAATGATTTTATTATTAATAAGTTCCTTATTAATAATATCACCTCTAGCTCTCGTTAGGTTTAAACTAAAAATAATATCACCTCTAGCTCTCGTTAGGTTTAAACTAAAAATAATATCACCTCTAGCTCTCGTTAGATTTAAACTAACAATAATATCACCTCTAGCTCTCGTTAGGTTTAAACTAAAAATAATGTCACCTCTAGCTCTCGTTAGGTTTAAACTAAAAATAATATCACCACTAGCTCTCGTTAGGTTTAAACTAAAAATAATATCACCTCTAGCTCTCGTTAGGTTTAAACTAAAAATAATATCACCTCTAGCTCTCGTTAGGTTTAAACTAAAAATAATATCACCACTAGCTCTCGTTAGATTTAAACTAAAAGTAATATCACCTCTAGCTCTCGTTAGGTTTAAACTAAAAATAATATCACCTCTAGCTCTCGTTAGGTTTAAGCTAAAAATAATATCACCTCTAGCTCTCGTTAGGTTTAAACTAAAAATAATATCACCTCTAGCTCTCGTTAGATTTAAACTAAAAAAAATATCACCTCTAGCTCTCGTTAGGTTTAAACTAAAAATAATATCACCACTAGCTCTCGTTAGATTTAAACTAAAAATAATATCACCTCTAGCTCTCGTTAGGTTTAAACTAAAAAAAATATCACCTCTAACTCTCGTTAGGTTTAAACTAAAAATAATATCACCTCTAGCTCTCGTTACGTTTAAACTAAAAATAATATCACCTCTAGCTCTCGTTAGGTTTAAACTAAAAATAATATCACCTCTAGCTCTCGTTAGGTTTAAACTAAAAAAAATATCACCTCTAGCTCTCGTTAGGTTTAAACTAAAAATAATATCACCTCTAGCTCTCGTTAGGTTTAAACTAAAAATATTATTACCTCTAGCTCTCGTTAGGTTTAAACTATTAATAATATCACCTCTAGCTCTCGTTAGATTTAAACTAAAAATAATATCACAGCTAGCTCTCGTTAGGTTTAAACTAAAAATAATATCACCTCTAGCTCTCGTTAGGTTTAAACTAAAAATAATATCACCTCTAGCTCTCGTTAGGTTTAAACTAAAAATATTATCACCTCTAGCTCTCGTTAGGTTTAAACTAAAAATAATATCACCTCTAGCTCTCGTTAGGTTTAAACTAAAAATAATATCACCTCTAGCTCTCGTTAGGTTTAAACTAAAAATGATATCACCGCTAGCTCCCGTTAGATTTAAACTAAAAATATTATCACCGCTAGCTCTCGTTAGGTTTAAACTAAAAATATTATCACCTCTAGCTCTCGATAGGTTTAAACTAAAAAAAAACAAACCTTGCTGTCACAGTTAAACCGTGTAAACAGTAGAGTCATCATGTTTTATTGGACAATTGACAAACCTAATTACCAAATAAACATTATTAGCTATGTGAACTCTCTGAAAGAGATGCTGAATTGACAAACCTAAATACCAAAATAACATTATTAGCTATGTGAACTCTCTGAAAGAGATGCTGAATTGACAAACCTAAATACCAAAATAACATTATTAGCTATGTGAACTCTCTGAAAGAGATACTGAGTTGACAAACCTAAATACCAAATAAATATTATTAACTATGTGAACTCTCTGAAAGAGATACTGAGTTGACAAACCTAAATACCAAATAAACATTATTAGCTATGTGAACTCTCTGAAAGAGATGCTGAATTGACAAACCTAAATACCAAAATAACATTATTAGCTATGTGAACTCTCTGAAAGAGATGCTGAATTGACAAACCTAAATACCAAAATAACATTATTAGCTATGTGAACTCTCTGAAAGAGATACTGAGTTGACAAACCTAAATACCACATAAATATTATTAGCTATGTGAACTCTCTGAAAGAGATACTGAGTTGACAAACCTAAATACCAAAAAACATTATTAGCTATGTGAACTCTCTGAAAGAGATACTGAGTTGACAAACCTAAATACCAAATAAACATTATTAGCTATGTGAACTCTCTGAAAGAGATGCTGAATTGACAAACCTAAATACCAAAATAACATTATTAGCTATGTGAACTCTCTGAAAGAGATGTTGAATTGACAAACCTAAATACCAAAATAACATTATTAGCTATGTGAACTCTCTGAAAGAGATACTGAGTTGACAAACCTAAATACCAAATAAACATTAGCTATGTGGACAGAGGGTGCTTTAATAGTCTAAAGAAGTACTTAAGCGGACGAAAAGCGCATAATCCCTTTAAATATACCTCAAACTAGAAATTTCACTGTCTATTTCTGTATATGTGTTTTCTATATATGGCATAGTCTCACTAAAATTTGAGTTGAATTTTTAACTTTTTAACGTGAATAATTATGGATGCACATGGATTTGAAGGCTAAAATTTCGACGATGAGCTATGAACACTATTACTGATTATGTAAGCTAAAACAATTCCTGTTTCTGAAACTAAGGTATGATTGGTTGAACAGATAGTGAAGGGAAGGTGCTCCTTGAATTGAACCCTGAGTACTGCTCAACACCTTTAATTATCTAGTACCCTGAGTTTCTGTCTGACCTGAGTTTCTGTATACCAGAGAGAAAGATTACCAGCTTGTCATGAGAATAATAGTATAGTTTTATTAACAATATAAAACTATTAAATCTCACTGGGTAGCCTTCTCCTCTTACCTCTACATACATTTCACATTATTATTACAACTATTTTATACAGGGGTCAATATATAGGCCTTTTTTAAAAGGGCAGAATGCACAATTTGAGAAAAATGTGGTAAATCCAACCCCGTTGCCAGGAATGAATTGGTGCTGGGTCTCAGATTTTACACTCAGAACATTTTAAGAAATAAAGGCCCGGAGAACTCATTTCTGACATTTTTGAGGTGCCAAAAACGTATCGAAATCTATATCTTTTTGATTTTATAGAAAGACACTGTAAATGAATCAATCTCTGCTGAACTGAAGAAGGTATAGCTGGCTCTTAATTCTCACTTGCTGGGTCTTAATTCTCACCCTAACGACAGGGCTGTGTAAATGCCTTAGAAAATTCTTCTAAAAATGCTTTTTACTTGTGTATCTAAATTGTTTTTTAAAGGCCAGACCAGTTTCAATTCTTGAAAAAGTTGTGAAGGACGAAAAAAAAAACCCACTACAGAAACAAATATTGACCTAAATTATCTTACTCTCTCAGTATTAATTTCTTCATACTGTTTTCCTAAACTCAACTGATATAAAACCCAAGTGAAAGCTGACCACAAAACTTTTGTCCCGGTAATTGAATTTGAAACGTAGAACATTTGATTGGTTTATTAGTCAATTGCACTACCTCTTCACTGGGTTCTAATCCATAAGAATCGAAAAATATAAGTTATTTGAAGAGTCTTTGTACAAAGCAGAATGATGAACTCCTTTTTGATCGGAAGTATGTAAGTTTGTTATAGCGTAAAATTTACCTTTCTTATATTTCAGATCATTTATTTCATCTCTCATGCAATAATAAAACGGTGATATATTTAACTCATTTGCCCATCTCATAAGTTGAAAGTTTGTGGTTGTAATCAGTTCCATATTTATCGAGAAAGATATTCATTTTTAAAAGTCGGTTTTTTGAAGTTTTTTTTGAAAAAAACCTACCTATGATTTGTTCTTTGTCTTGATCGATTAAATCATATGTTGGAGGGGATGAGGTGTTTACTTTATCAACGATGAATATTTCGTTTGTCCAGTATCCAACGTAATCTTTTTAAATGAGTTAATTCAACGAAGAAATTGTGGTCTGTTTTTTTATCCAAAAAGAGTTATATCCCTTCTACATTATTTAAAACCGGATGTTATTTTTATATAAGGGTATTTTTAATATGCTATTTTTGATGGAATGTAGGAATTGATTGAAGGTGTTTTGGCTTAAGAATTTATGAAATGTAGGGTGTTTAGGTGTTTTTAGTGTAAGAATTTATGAAATGTAGGGTGTTTAGATGTTTTTAGTGTAAGAATTTATGAAATGTAGGGTGTTTAGGTTTTTTGTGAGACCTTTCAATATGGTCGTACTTTCCCCATGGAATGAAATAAAAAGGGGAATCCCCTTGCGACCATATTGAAAGGTCTAGTACTACTCAGCATTAAATGTATCTTATCATCTTTGAAATCAAACAAGGCATCCGGCGGCGACAACATCAATAACAAAATTACAAAAAACTTCAGCTCTTTCTTATAGACTCCACTCTCAAAATTAACTAACTTTTTTCAGCAAACTTGTTTCTTCCCAACAAACAAGCAAATGTAGTCCCAGTCTTTAAAAAGGTGACCCACTTAGCTGTTCAAATTACAGGCTAATATCTTTGCTTAGCTCATTGAGTAAATTATTCGAAAAGTACAACTTCAATTTTCTACTGTCAAATCACATTCTGACTACTGTCAGGATTCAGAGAAAAGGACTCGTTGATATTAACAATCAAATAAGTAGTGAAGTAGATAGAGGGGGAGAAGTAAAGACCATCTTTTTTGACATTAGTAAGGCTTTCGATAGAGTTTGGCACACCGGACTCCTGTGGAAACCTGAGTCAATTGGTATGAAGGGTAATATCCTCTGTTTAGGAGTTATCTACCTCACAGAAACCAGTCTATCGTCTTAAATGGCCTTGCATCCAGAAGCAAAGCAACCCCAAATGGTGTCCCACAAGGGTCTGTGTTTTGGCCACTTTTATTCTTCATCGTCATAAATGACATTATCAAAGACATCAAGTCCTCACTTCGGCTATTTGCGGATGATACTTCCAATTCATAACCCAGATGCTTGTCAAGCTAATTTAAATGAAGATCTAAAATTAATAGAGAACTGGGCCAAATCATGGAACGTTATCTTCTGTCCAGAAAAAACCATCAGTATGACTTTCTCCCGTAAAGTACCACCAACAAATTTTTCGCTAGCTTTCAATAACCAAGCTGTAACTGATTCTAACCACCACAAACATCTAGGTATTATCCTTAGTTCAGACTGCAAATGGAAAGATCATATCAACTAATTCAATAAATTGTTTACGAGACAAGAAATATCGCCTCTCCAGAAAGTCTCTTGCCTCACTTTGATTTAGGAGATGTTGTTTGGGACAACTGCACTGAAATTGATTCACTCCGAATTGAAACCCTTCATCTTGATGCCTTGCGAACAATCACAGGCCTGGTCAGTGGCACCTCTCATACTGTATACTGATGCCCATAATACTGGGGCGTGTACTGTATATTGATGCCCATGATACTGGGGCGTGTACTGTATATTGATGCCCATAATACTTGGGCGTGTACTGTATATTGATGCCCATGATACTGGGGCGTGTACTGTATATTGATGCCCATAATACTGGGGCGTGTACTGTATATTGATGCCCATAATACTGGGGCGTGTACTGTATACTGATGCCCATGATACTGGGGCGTGTACTGTATATTGATGCCCATAATACTGGGGCGTGTACTGTATAGTGATGCCGATAATACTGGGGCGTGTACTGTATATTGATGCCCATAATACTGGGGCGTGTACTGTATACTGATGCCCATGATACTGGGGCGTGTACTGTATACTGGTGCCCATAATACTGGGGCGTGTACTGTACACTGATGCCCATGATACTGGGGCGTGTATTGTATACTGATGCCCATAATAATGGGGCGTGCACTGTTTGCCGATTGCCATAATACTGAGGCATGTACTGTATACTGATACCCATAATACTGGGGCGTGTACTGTATACTGGTGCCCATGATACTGGGGCGTGTACTGTATACTGATGCCCATGATACTGAGGCATGTACTATATACTGATGCCCATGATACTGGGGAGTGTATTGTATACTGATGCCCATAATACTGGGGCGTGTACTGTGTACTGGTGCCCATGATACTGGAGGAGGGGGGAATTGGGTATTAGTAAATTTGTTTGACCACAGATTGGAGACAATATATCGGGATCTGGTAACCTACAACACTAAAGTTAAACATATACTACAATATACATGTATATGCATGTCATAGATTTACGCTTTGATAACTCTCACTTATTTTGTTTACTAACTGTATATATTTATGTTCTATTGGTAGAACTGATGCATAAACATTTCATCACAAAAAATATATGCATATTATAGATAACAACGTTGATATATCTTATTCATATGACTAACTGTATATATAATATACAAAAGTTTTTGTATTGATTAGCTCCTAGTTATTTTGAATATGAAATAAATATTCCCTGCCTTCAATGCATTGAAACCGCCATTTTCATAGGCCTTCGTGACAAGAATGGGAGAACTTTTACCCAATAAGAACTGTGTGTGTGAGGGTGTGTGAGTGTAGATATTGACTAATGTAGATATATCTGTGTTTGTAAAGCGCCATTGAATGCTCAAGTTACAGTAGAGAGTTAGTAGTATCTCTATACTTTATACTTCAATAATCTACATCTTCTTTTCACTTTGTTTTTGCTTAAACATTTAAAATTGCTTTGTGTACATTTCCAACTACAAATGTTACGTATCCGAAAGTAAATGAACTATCGAAAAACAATGTCAAAATTCATTTTTCATGACGTTTGATATTCCTTTAAAGGGACAAGAACTAGATATTCTGGAGTAAATCATACCTTGGTCTCAGAAACAACAACAAATTTCATTCATTAATCCTTTAAAAAGTGGTCACGATTTCCTGTTTGATGGAAACAGGAAATACTTGATAACGTTGGCTTAAGTAGTATATGTCTTTTCGGATATGACGCATTTCACTTCTGCGCATGCGCAGCTTTTTCAATGCGTCATATCCGAAAAGACACAACTGTTAAAATGTATTATAACAGACTCCCGAAACTGTTAAAAATGTATTATAACAGACTCCCCAAACTGTATTATAACAGACTCCATATAAATTACCCAAACCACAGACAAGATTCACTAAAATAATACAGTAAAAAATAACCGCATTAAAAATGTCTTTAATTTTAAAACACGAACAAAAAAAATTCGAAGGAGACGGTTTCTTCTCTGCGCTAACATCTCTCATCCCCAAAGTGGCCAATTTTGTCTCAAACAACAAATCCCTCATTTCCTCAGAAGCGCAAGCTCTTGGATCTGTGGCAAAAGCAGGAGTAAATATAAGCGATGCAGAGAAAAAATCTGACGAACTTAAAGAACTGCAGCTAATAAGAGAACTAAGAAACAAGAGACTAGAACGACAAGCCCTAGAAAAACAAGGAAAAGGGTTTAAAATCATTGGATAAAAATGGCAAGCAAAAATTACAGATTGGATCCAATCTTTCAATTGTATGATCCGATTCAATATTCGTTCAACAAGAGGAAGAGGATTACGTAATCATCTCACCATCGGTAGGGACAAAGACCCAAATAAACGACGGAGGAAGAGTTACCTTTGAAATTAATTCGTTGTCCAATTGGTTGCTCCTTTCCGATGCCCATTTCCGATGCGATTTCAAAATCAAAGACGCCGCTCAGAATCGAATTCCACAAACCAACACGACTTTAGAAAACAACTTCTTTCCGTCTTTATTCAGCGAAATGGTTTTGGAAGCTGGTTCAAATCCGATGGAGACCATAAAACACCCCGGCGAGTTTGACACAATGTTGAAAACGGTTCTCTATCCTAAAAACTACGATTCAGTTTCGGGATGGATTCCCGATGTCGGTGACGGAGAAGTTTTAAAAGAACCGGTTAGAACTGTAGCAAATGACGCAGACCTTGCTAGGATAAGGGTAGTTGCTAGAAACACACTGGAAAGAGTGACTCGCGGAGTAAATCACGGATTTGAAAAACGAGCGCTTCAATACAACAATGTCGTCGAGAACAACAGATGGGGTAATTACGTTAATTGGAAGTTGTATCCTTTCTTTGGTCTTTTGGAACATAGAAAGGTTTCCATAGGTTTACGGTATAAAATTCATTTGCAAAGAGAAATCAATGACAACAAGATATTCTTTGGTGAAAACAACTTTGACGCAAAATTGGAAACAACGAATATCCAACTTTACATACCGGTAATCACTCCTTCCGTAGAAGTTGAAACGAGAATATTCAACTCTTTAACCAAAGACATCGAAATTGCTCTTCTTCGTCGTAACACGGTAGATAGCATGACTTTAACGGGAGAATCCACCACGTGGCCAATTACCAACACCGTCAAACCAGCGAGATATCTAATGGTCGGTTTCAAAAACTTGCCAGACTCTCAGACAAACAACAACAACATTTTCAGAGTGGCATTGAACCATACTCAAGATCCCATCATTCGCAAATTTCAAGTCAGATTGAACAACGATAATTATCCCAATCAACCTTTAACAATTGATCCTTCCAAAAAAGATTACAACGAATTGTACAGAAACTATAAAAACATGTGCGAATTGTTTGGAAATACGCCTTAGTTTGAATACACAGATTTTTCACTCAATCATCCAATCTTTTGTTTCGATCTGTCAGCTCATCAAGAAGATCTTTTCAAAACAGGGGTAAACATAAATATTCACATCGATAAAACACAAGGAGATGTGACCGGCTACTGTTTATTGCTGGAAGAAGCAAAACATTTGATTAAAATATCAGATAGAAGAATGATAAGAATTGAATAAAAAAACACCCTTTACAAATGAAACCAGAAACTTTAGTTATGAAAATAATAGAAGCTATGGAAACGAATTCGCCGACTCTAATAACTTACAACGGTAAAAAAGTGCATATAACCCAAAAGATTATCGATAAATACAAACATTGCAAAGTCAGAGACATATAGACTTGGAAAGAATTGATGAGAATTTAACTAAAAAAGGTGGATTTTTACCTTTCTTACCTTTAATCTTTGCTGGTTTAGCTGCAGCCGGTGCAACTGCAGGTGGAGCTGCTGGGATAGCCAAAGCTGTCAACGATAAGAAAGCTGAAGCCGCTGCAAACGCCGAAGCGCGTAGACACAATTTGGCAATGGAAAGAGAAGCACGAGGAGGTTCGGGAGTAGGAGATATATTAGGGACGGTTGAAGAATTCGGACAAAGATTTGGCGAAGAAACCAAGAAAACCGTTAAAGAGGGATTAAGCAAATTAATAGATAAAATCGACACCGGAGAAATGAAGGTCAAACACAAGGGCATACGTTCGGGCGAGGGGATCTTCCTTTCAAAGTATAAAGGCAACGGGGTGATTTTTGGTACGAAAATATAATAAATAAAAATGGGCAAGAAATTTAATCATTCGGAAATATTTCCTAATAACCCAATGCTCATGTGTATATGCGGTAGTTCCGGTTCTGGGAAAACTCATCTCACTTTTAACATGTTGACAACACCAAACCTTTTAGATTTCGATTCTTTGTATATCTACACAACAACACCAGAGCAATCGTATTATCAATTCCTCAAAGCTTTGGAATATTTACCAAAGAAAGATGTTCAAGACATATTTCAATATTACGAGGAAAACGAAGAAGAAGTGGAAATAAAAGATATCATAGAAAACTTCATTAAATCAAAGAATCCATCTTTCAATCCAACGGATATAAAAGTTTTTCTTACGAAAAATGTTAATAATCTAGACTTGTCTAATATTGATAGCAATCGAAAGAACTTAATATTGTTTGACGACTGCGTAGCGCAAAGAAATCAAACTGTTCAACAAGAATTCTTCACCAAAGGAAGACATCACAACTGTCACTGCATATACCAATCCCAATCTTTTTACGGGATGGATTCTATGTTCATTAGAAAAAATGCAAATTGTTTTTTATTATTTGAATTAAACGATAAAGATTTATCTCAAATCATTCAGTCTATAAATCACGGAATGGATAGAGATACATTTAAAAAGGTTTGTAAAGCTCAATGGAGAAACCCAGATGATCATGGATATGTATTTGTAAATACTAGAAAACCTGCGGGAGAAAGAGTTATGATCGATATATGTTAATTTTATTTTTTTAAAAATGACAGATTGGAATAATTTTTTAATAAGAAATAGAGAATATATCAAAGCTAAGAATAAAATAAAGACCCAAGTTGAAAATAACAGATTACAACAACTCGGATTAACGGAAAATCTACAGACTCTATTTCAACCCATATTAAAATCTCAAGAGGATATTAAAAATAAATTAGCTTTAGAACCCACACCTCATATAGAACCCAAACCGATTGAATATAATGGTATTATAATTAGGACATTAGATGATATAAATCGTCTTTTTTCAAACCCTGACCCAGATTTACCAAAGAGCATTTCACCAATCGTTGATAATCAAGGTTTATTGTTTAATGGATTTAGAATTATATTTAGTGGAAATTCACCACAATTCAAAATCGACACAAAAGATTATATATATGGCAAGGATGTTGGTATTGCCGATTATAAGGATTTAGTAGCATACTCCAAATTTTTAGATGCAATAAGAAAATCAGGACCCGAAACAAGAAGATTGAAAGAAGTTAAACTATATAAAAGAGTAATTGAACATGATGAAGAGGATGTAGATGATTATCCAATCATACAAGAAATAGACGAATTCGATGATATGGTGGCATCTGGGCAAGGTATAACGTTTTTATCCGACGACAATAAAGAATTGCTTAATAGATTAGAAATAATATTAGCGGCCATGAAGGAAGGTCATCGATCGGACAGACAATACAACGAAGTCAATGCCATATTAAAACGACTTTTGGAGAAAAAAATCATCACTAAAAAAGACTATATAAACGTCATTAAAAATGTCCAATAAAGAGCAATTGTTCGTTATCACCTCGAATAAACCAGACATCAAATTGTCTCTAGACTACGAGTATGAACTCGATCGCAATAAACAGTACGAACTGGGATTAAAGTATTTCTCCGTTTACAATTCCATTAGAAACATCAACGAAAAAAACAATCAACAAAAAATATCGACGGATAATGGAGTTACGTTCGAAACCATAAGCTTACTACCGGGGAGCTACGAATACGTAGCCATCAACGAATACCTATCCGAATACGCAGGAAGCGTGAACGGCAAAAACAATATCGAATTCGAAGGTAATTTGAATCTGAACAAAATAAAACTGATCTTGAGAAATAACAGTCAAGTCGATTTCAACGTAGAAAATTCGTTGAATGCGTTACTAGGGTTCGATAATCGAAAATACGCGCAATCGACATTGGCGCCGCACAAGGCCAACATCGAGAACGATATCGAGGTGATCAACATTCATTGTAATTTGATCAACGGTGGATTTTTCAACAAGCACAAACGCCAAATCATATACAGCATACCGACTTTTACGGTGCCGATCGGATACAGAATTATAGAGAAACCGTTTCAAACGACCTATTTACCAGTCAATTCTTTCATGATCAAAGATATAAATCTGGAAATCAAAGACGGTAAAAACAGATTCATAGACTTTGGCAACGAAGAAATTGTCATTCAACTTCATTTAAAACAATCTTCATTCTCTTCTTGAATAGTAAGATAATCGAAATCATCAAATTCATAGTTTTCATCAAAACTATACTCATCTTTGTCGTTGTAAGGATACATAATTCCTTCACTGTTTGGTGTTTGGTGGTCACCGTAATCGTTTTTACCTTTGCAATAGTCTTTTTCGGAGATCAAACCAGCTCTGTTTAGTTTTTTCCAATTTTTGGATGAAATGTACAAACTATCGGTGTCGGTATAGTATATTTCGGGTTTATAAAATCCATTTATGGCGTGAATGAAATTGTTCATTATTTTTTTTACTATCTTTTTCTTCAATTTCCGTTTCAACAATATATTGAGTATCATTAATTTTCTCATAGGTTTTAACGCGTGAATCAAAGTTGGCCTGTAAAATTGCTTCATTCCATAAATGTCTAGTTGTGAATATATCTTTCTGAATTGATTTACCATACAAGGAATTACCTAATAATTTCATGCAATTACTACCCACGATATTACCTTCTCGTTTATATTTATTTCTTAGATCTCTCAAAATTAAAATATAATCTCTATAGGGTGGAGTTTTAAAATTTTCTTCGTAAACTATACCATCTAATATTCTAATAATTCGTCCACCGGCTTTCACTATTTCTTGAATATCGACCGATGTTAAAACGTCGTGACAGAAACCATTTCTGAACCTGATTTTGTTACCCGTTTCCTTTTTACCTTCTTTATCGGTTGGAAGAACATGTTTTTGGGGTAGTCAAACCACACTGTTAAAATAGCTGTTCTAGGTCTGAATTTTTGTTTATTGAAGAGTTTCACAAATTCTTTTTCTTCTTCTGGTAGAAACGGTCTTCCACTTTCCGCTCTCGGATATTCACTGTCTAAATCCGACATGGCGGAAGCGTATAAACCGTTAGCGTCAAATGCCATTAGTTTAGTACATTCTATTTTTTTAAGTCTCGAATGAACCTCCGTTTTGTCTTTTGTGCTTGCGCTGTATTCTTTGAATAAATCAATTATGTTCAAGTTCTGTGTCACTTCGTGTTTCACTTTGTGAAATATATTCCTTTAATACGTTACAAATTTCATCCATTTTGTTCGTTTCAAATGATTTTCTATTTGCCGAAACTCTTCCTCCTTTAATAGATCGTCTGATAAAATTTCTTATAAAAGGATTTGTGTGCGAATAAACTTTTTCTATATTTTCTTTTTCGATATGTTTCGCAACCATTCTAGTAGTTTCATACCATTCTTCTTCCACCATTTCTTTATCGTAATGATATAAATAATACCAACCCTTTAAAGATAAAGATGGAGCCGTTAGATTATTGGACATATTCTGGTTTACAACTTCTTTCGTGACTTGGTTGTATTTTATCAAACAAGCTCCCAAACAGAGAGTGTCTCTCTTGGCGTAAGTTTCCCATTCGTGTCTCAATTCCTCCCAGTTGTCTTGCGTGTATTTAGCGATATCTACGTCGGCAATCTTTCTCAAATTCGCGGGAAGATTGGAAGAATTTCCCCATGCAGCCAAACTAGAGGATTCGTGTTGATAGGAACACGTGAAATTAATATGTTATAAATAATTACCCTTTATTTCTTTCTGTCTTTTCCATTTTTCTGTAAATCTTCATCCGTGTATGGATTAGATAAAGGAAAAGAATTCCTCTGGGTGTTTTTAAAGGGCAATGCGTTAGTTTTTTTGCATTTTTAAGCAGTTGTCGAATCCACTGCCGTTATGAGAAATTAATATTAATCTCTTTCTACCTTATTGACCTAAATATTTCAACATTTGATCGATGCAATCTGTACCTACAAATATTTCTACTACATTCATTAGTTTATCATAAAATTCTTCTGGAAGGGGATCTGATGACTTTAAATCTGGAAAGAGATTATTTATTCTGTTTCACATTTTCCTTAGTTTTTCTAAATTAATTAAAGTGCAGGCATAAGGAATTGCTCTTCGCGTGTCTTTTTCTGAATACGTTTCGCAATCCCAAGTGAATAACGCATCATCACTCATACTCGAAAGCACGTTTAGTTTGAGAGGTGAAACCTGTGTTACTGCGTTGTCGTCTCTACACGTTTTCCACATCTGTTCGTAATTGCCTTCTATTTCTTGAATTCCCAAACTTTTTTGGCTTCTTCTAATCAAACAGAAATGCGAGTTGTGTAAGTACAAAACCCAATCTAATTCATCGTGAACGTCTCTGGGGTGAAAATGTCTGTTTTCTGGGATTATAAATTTGAAACGAAGTGTTGAATTTCTTGTTGAATTCCTTCATTCTAGCACAAGTCATCACTCCTTTTTTATTTGCTTTTGAAAACCCGTTGATGTATTCTTGAAATTTACACGTTAAATCTTTGTTCAAAACACGATTTACGCATTTGATAAAACAGTGACCATCTGTAGGTATGTAACAATTTTCGCCTTCGTATTCATTGATCTTTTTAAGCAGATCAGTTCCTCCTCTGCCAACTGTCGACCTTTTTATTTCTGGGAAATTGTCTTTCATTAAAATTATTTTTCCTGTAAAATACCAATCGGAAGCATCGGATTTTTTGTCCATATTTGAAAAGATATTGTGAAATGTTTTGGCATTGAAACCGAGGAGTGACATGTATTGTCTGTGATTCCCTTCCTCGACTATCTCTCCATCTATTTTAATTTGTCCTTTGAATGTTTTAAATTTATCAGAGATAGCCTTGATAACATCGGAAAATAGGGCGTTTTCTATCAATGTTTCATTAAGTTCGATTTTATTCATATTTTTTTAAGTGTATATTTTTGATTATTTCTTTATTTTGACCGCTGATATTTCTGTATGGAATTTGTCCAAAATTTCATTGAATTCTTGTAATTCTTCAACTGTTATGTTCTTGTTATGTTATGTCTTCTCTCGATCTTTCGAAAAAGATGTACAATTGATTAAGATACATATTCAAGATATCCGTTTTCTTTTTATAATGAGCTTTCTTTTTGCTCGTGAAACCTAAAGTGATGAGACCGCAAGAAGACGTTTGAACGGCCAATACGGTTGGGACGATGACCGGAAGCATTAATCCACCAGTCACGGCCGTTGCCACCGTTACTCCTACCGTTAGAACTGTGCTCAGAAGAAAGTTTTTAATCACACCCACTTCTTTTACTAATTCTAGAATTTTAGTATCCAAAGCAGTCAATTGTTGTTTCAACGTATCTTTGTCAATGGGAAGTGTGTTAATTATATCTTGAACATCTGATTTTTGCTTCGCGATCTTTTCGTTCAAATTTTGTAACTCGGTTTTGTCCGCGGTCTTGTCTAGTTCTGCTAGCAATTCGCCAAGTTTTCTTTCCAAAGCGGTTAGTTTTCGTGTCAATCTATCCTCGTTTACATTTGGGTTGTCTATTAAACGTTGGACGTCTATTTTTACCTTCGTAATCTTATCGTCTAATTTAGATATTAAATTTTGCAACTGACTTGTTTTATCCACTTGAATAAGACGTTTCAAACTCGTTAACTCTTGTTGTAGTTTGGGTTCGTCCACAAGATTTTTAATATTTCGTCTGATGAATCTTTTCACGTCATTTATTCTATTTTCAACATGGTCCTTATCTATTTGAATTGCGTTTATTTGATCCAGTAAATATTTCTTGTTCACGGCATCGTTATCGTTTCCTGGAAACTTTAAATTAGTTATTTTGAAATTGTTCCTATCGATATCCCCTTGCAAGGTGTCTCCGATTTGATCCACGAAAAAAGGTTTCGCTTTGTTTATAAACGCCGTAGAACTCATGGGATTTTTAGATTCTAGAGGTAAAGACCCTAATCCAAACTTGTTTTCCATTTTTATTGAGTTAAATTTATTATAATTTCTTCAAACTTTTCTCCCAAACTCAACCGATATAAAACTCAAAGCGACAGCTGTCCACACAGCTTTTGTCCTGGCATTTGAATTTGAAACGTAGAACATTTGATTGGTTTGCTAGTTAATTTCGTTATCTCTTCTGTCGGTTCTAGACCGAAAGAATCAAAGAAATAAAAGTTATTCGAAGAACCTTTGTGTAAAGCAGAGTGATGAACTCCTTTTTGATCCGACGTGTGAATGTTTGTGATGGCGTAAAATTTACCTTTCTTGTATTTCAGTTCATCAATTTCATCTCGCATTCAATAATAAAACGGCGAGACGTTCAATTCCTTGGCCCATTTCACAAGTTGAAAATTTGTGGTCGTGTCTTTTCCGTATTTATCGAGAAACGCATTCATTTTTTAAGTTGGTTTTTTTGAGGTGTTTTTCGAAGTAGGCGGCAAGTATTGCTGAAGACCCAATTGACGAAATATATACGTAGTTTGTGTTTGAAAAAACTTGTATAACATTCTGATAAAACACATTCAATAATATTTTGAAGATAAATTTACATTTAAATTTAAAAAATCTTAATTTAAGAGAGCGTAAATGCTTGTCGACATCTAAATTTCTTAACCTTTCATCTAAATCTTCATTTTCGAGATTCATTTTTAAAAGTCAGTTTTTTGAAGATCATTTTGATAAAACCTTCCTATGATTTGTTCTTTGTCTTGATCGATCAATTCATACGTGGGAGGTGATGTGTTGTTTACTTTATCAACGATGAATATCTCGTTAGTCCAATAGCCGACGTAACCTTTCTGAAACAATGATTTATATTTAAAAATACGAACTCGATCTCCAACTTTGAATTTGGGTTTAATATTCAAATTGCTAATCTCGTTTTCAAAGTTGTTTCGAGTGTTGACGGACTTCATGATATTCGGATTATTAGAGGCTTGCGATGGCGTCACACCTATAGACGAATGTATTTTGTTATTGTATTCGTCGACAGCAACTGGTAATATTTTAAGCCATTTTTGAGATTTCAATTCCGTGAATTTCTTGAATAATTTGCTTTTAAGAGTCCTGTTGAATCTTTCTATCACTACGGCTTTACCTTCGTTATGCGTGCTGTAAATTTCAAACCCCAGAGATTTCACATTTCTGTTGTAGAATTCGCTTCCTTTATCAACCCACAACTTTAGGGGTCGTCTGTCGGATTGTTTCATTATGGTTTCGAATGCTTGTTTGACAGTCAGACCCGATTTGTTTTTCAAGGGAAAGACCCAAGCGTATCTCGTGTATATGTCGATCACCGTCAAACAGTACTTGTACCCTCTCTCGACTGGGATGTTGATTAAATCGGCTGACCAAATTTCATCTTTATCAAAAACTTTGACTTTGAGGAAATGTTTGTTTTTTCGAAATTCTTTGTGAATTGCCCATACCCAATTTCAATTTTGCCTTCAAGAGTTTTATGATAAGAGCCCTCTGTAATTTCTCTTTGAAAGTGGGATTGGGAATATTTTCGAGTTCGTCTATCATTTGTTTGTCTGCTTGGTGTCTGAATGTTACGTCTTTGTTTCTGTACAGTATGTCGTGTTTGAGCGCTGCTGCGTCAACTCTATTAACGGGTTCTTCCCCTGGTTTGGGATTATCATGTTCGTCTAAACGCAGATCTAATCTCGTGCCTGGACCTGTATAATTGTGGCTTGGGAGATGTTTTTCTCCGGGATATTTTGCCCATGGGAATCCAGGAAGAGAACCCAATGACTTTTGTATGACTCCCTCACCGAAATACGTTTTAGGAGGATGGACATTTATTAAAGACATATTTGTTCAATAAACACCATATATTTTTAATACCAAAGATTTAATACAAGGAGGAATTTTGTTGTTTGAGACAAAATTGGCCACTTTTGGGATGAATTTCCTTCGAATTTTTTTTGTTCGTGTTTTAAAATTAAAGACATTTTTAATGCGGTTATTTTATACTGTATTATTGTTAGTGATTCTTGTCTGTGGTTTGGGTAATTTATATGGAGTCTGTTATAATACAGTTTGGAAGGAGTCTGTTATAATACAGTTTGGGGAGTCTGTTATAATACATTTTAACAGTTGTGTCTTTTCGGATATGATGCATTGAAAAAGCTGCGCATGCGCAGAAGTGAAATGCGTCATATCCGAAAAGACATATACTACTGACTTAATGTTTAAATCATATTGCACATCCGTCGCTAATGTTCGTTAGTTTCCATGAGTTGAACAGCACGCTGATCTCGAAGTTGATACGGGTGGATCTGCAAGCTAGTTGCAGGCTGTGTCATGAAAGTTCAATAATTGAAAGACGAGTTCTAAATAAGTCCAGAATTCACGATATTGTTGGAATTTGGAGTGTGCACATTCGAGGGAAATTAGAAAATACCTTTAACATTCAGTGATGTGTCGATTTCGGCTCTGTTGACGTTCGAAGGAACGCACGCGACCGCTGTTATCCAATCAAATTGCGTGATACCGTGTAAACGGAATCGTGAATTAATTATTTAAATTTGACCTGTTTTATAAATGTATTCACAAGATAAATGTGTACAAATATTTTTACAAAAATTCGATTTTTAGTTTTTTGATTGATCTCGCCCACGAGAAATCGGGGAAAGAGGTGAGAAAGCGAGGGTAAAAAAAGTCCCGCTTTCTCGATTTCTCGCCCTTTGCACCGCTTTCATGCCCTTTTCCTTGCTTTCTCGCCTTGTCGCCTATTTCCTCGCTTTCTCGTGGACGAATAGATATAGCCATATAAAACACTGAATGTATTAATTGAATACACCAAGGCAAGAATAATCGTTACAGCTCGGTCAATACTGTCATCCTTATCAATAATTGCTGATAACATTTGGCAATATAAAATGTTTGTCTATCACGAAACGATACCGTACAGGTAAATACCATGACACTGGCGTATTTTGGGACCTTAAAAATGAAAATTTATGCTACTGTCACTAACAAAATGGGGTATCTGTGGCAGCTTGTAAAGTTTGAATATTTTACTCTCTTTTACGTGTTGACCTAAGACAGGTTGGTTCCTGGAAATATTTATGAACATTACTAAAAGATCAACCGATATGAAGTGGTTGAAAATGTCGGTTAACTAAGTTGGTGTGGTTATTTCTATGTAAGAACAACATGTTTAATACATAAAGGTATTGGTGACCTGTTCTTCATTTAACAAGCTGATCTGTTTTGTAGCATCATCGATTACACAGTGGTCTCCTGACAGCAACAACAATATGCTTGTTAACAGCAGTGACATTTCCAATAATATTCTGGTATCGATAAATAAACATATTTCAATATGCGTGTCATAGATATACGATTTGATAAATCTTTCTTACTCTCGCAACTAACTGTAACATATGTCAGGTTAAAGGCATTAGTAGAAATAGTACATCATCCATCACATGTTTTATCATACAGGATATGCATGTCATAGGCAAGGTAATATAGACCCACTGACTGCTGCCACGACTATAAATAAAACTTCTATTGGGTCTTGGTCAAACTTTTCACCGGATTTCTTTACCACTATTGATTACAAATAGATCATTATACCTCATCGTATCCCGAATACGGGTTTTAACATGATCTGATTAACCCGCATTAAACTAAGCCCACTACACTTCGGTTTGTGGGCGTGGAAATTCGATTGGAGGTTAATAAATCTGACCAATCAGATTTAGGACCCGAAGTCGTCACCAGTAGTCAGAATTGCTTTTCGTATTTATTCGCCAGTCGTCCTCGTAGAGGTTTTTTTTCAACTAGTTTTAAAACCTTATGCAAGTAAGTATATAATAAAATATGGTGCTCACTACTTAAAATTAATTTTAGCTTAGCTTTCTGAAAAGTAAAATTTAGGGGTCCTTTGCTGATTTTGAATCAACAATGAAGCTTTTATCATGCATAGAATATGTAGAGTTAGACTATTAGTGTCATTTTGCATCACAAATTAAATGCATGTTTTTGAAAGTTCCTTTTTTGAACAGTTAGCTGAATACATTCAAGTATGTTCTGTATAATATATGAAATATACATACAATTATGTTAATATCTAAATATCACATTGATTTATTTTCATAGCAGTTGAAAACATCAGTCACATTTTTTCAACTAGTCGAAATTTCAATTTTTCATTTGTGACTGACTTCGGGGTCTAATCAGATAGATACTTTCCACTTTCCAAAGTAAATATTCCAAAGGTTTGATTTTCTATCAACTTCAATTCTTTACCGAACATCTTACTTAACTCACTATCGTTCATACGAAACAAAACATTTAATGAAACACTGCTTTCGTGTTGTTTACGTTCGCGAATATAGCGTCATAACGAGTGGTCTAATTTGATTGGCAAAGATTCCAGGGCCAATTTTGATCGGATAATATGCAGCCATGAATACTTATTTTTCTTTGACTTGATGCATTTTCCCATAAAGCTGGAGACGGAAAGTTTTGACTTGGTGCATTTGTCCTATAATGATGGAGACGGAAAGCTTTGACTTGGTGCATTTGTTCTATATAGCAGGAAACAGCAAGCTTTGACTTGGTGCATTTGTTCTATATTGCAGGAAACAGCAAGCTTTGACTTGGTGCATTTGTCCTTTATTGCAGGAAACAGCAAGCTTTGACTTGGTGCATTTGTTCTATATTGCAGGAAACAGAAAGCTTTGACTTGGTGCATTTGTTCTATATTACAGGAAACAGCAAGCTTTGACTTGGTGCATTTGGTCTATATTGCAGGAAACAGAAAGCTTTGACTTGGTGCATTTGTTCTATATTACAGGAAACAGCAAGCTTTGACTTGGTGCATTTGTCCTATAATGCTGGAGACGGAAATCTTTGAATTGGTGCATTTGTTCTATATTGCAGGAAACAGCAAGCTTTGACTTTGTGCATTTGGTCTATATTGCAGGAAACAGCAAGCTTTGACTTGGTGCATTTGTTCTATA